TGACCAACACTAAATGTGATGTAGGCATCATCTAGTGTAGCCCCACACTAGCTGATGCCTACAAATATACTTGACACAAATATATTTGTACCCAGTGTGAATAGGAACACCAAGTCCAGATCCACTGCAGTTCAAAGAGTCTTTGGGTCTAGACGTGAGCACGTAGCAGAAAGGAAACTGTTTAAAGAACATACTTGATAAGAAGGCTGACAACGCATTCTGATAGGATGTACGTGTATGCCCGGTCCGCTTACTCTGACTGCAAGCGTGGCTTCCTCCCACTACAGATATTCCAGTGAAAGATTTAGAACTTTTTCTAGCATGGTCTAAGGAGGGAGTCGTACTCCCGCAATTCGGGGTTGACATAGGATGGATAGCATCATTAAACGTTAGTGAATAACAACAACCAGGCATCAGTTTCGCTCATCTAGTTTGCATCCTTTTGAGGTCATATATATTTTTAAAAAAAGCCCCAAAAATTTAAAAAAAAGGGGGAAAAGGGAAAAAAACCCAATTATGCTGTCATTGTTTTTTTTTGGAGAACCCTAAAATTTTTGGGGGGTTTAAAAACCTACATTACTAACGCCGTTTTTTATTTACCAAAAAACACTGCACCATGGGGCCTCCAAACCCGTTTTAAATTTGGGGGCCTTGTTTTTTCGTTGTAAAACCCTAAAATGGACGAAATTTCCCTGCCCCACGCTCCGGATCCCGGGGTTCCAAAAAAGAATTGTCGCCGTTGAACCACGGGACTAATTTAAAAGGGAGGACTTATCAAGGTTCTAACCCACTCCCATTATTTATTTACGAATGCAATATAATTTGATTTGGATTTCTTGATTATTAGTGTTGCTAACATATGAAAAAATTAACCATACAGAAATAATTTCATAAAAAAAGTTTTTTTTAATTAAGGAGAAGCTGTTATAGAATTAAACTAATGGTTAAACCCTTTAAAACAAACTTTTTAAAAAATTCTTTATACCCTTCATGGGTTACTGATGAAATTCTTTAAATAAGTTTTTCAGATTTAGAAAACTATAATTTAATGGCTTTGAAAAAAGAGTACCCAATCCATAGTGAATTAGATAAAATAAATTAAAAATTTAAATTTTGTATATTTTTTAATTTAATATAATATTTAATATATATAATATTTTAATATTTTATATATATTTTATTTTATAATATATATTATATTTTATATATATATTTTTAAAATTATATTTTAATTATTTATATTTTAATATATAAATAATTTAAGACAGTAAGATACTCCAGTTGGTTTTATAAGGCTTGGAACTATAGTTTTCCCCATGAAAAAATGGTCTCGAAATTTAAAAACGAGGTAGACAATCAATGAGGAAATCTGAGTTGTAGATTGTTTTTATTTAGAAGGACAGTGACAAAAAGGAGTAGGCATTTTAGTGTGCAAAGTGATGCTAATAATATTATTGACACAATTTATCCCTGAGGAACTCCCAGCCGAACACTAGTTAAAAGGAGTCTTCGGGTCTGAACACTAGCGAAGGATCTCGTTAAATGCTAACTTACTGAAATAAATGATAAAGCGCATCTAAAGAACTTATGCCTGGGGTCAGCTCTACTCTGCATAGCTGGCTTCCCATCTACATATTATTCAAAGTGAACATTGCTAAGAACTTTCAGATCTAAGGAAATCTACTGCCTGAAATTTCGGTTGGTTGCATAAAGGAGGTACGCACTAACCCCGTAGAGAATAACAACAACACACGCTGAGTCCTCATCTAGTCTGACATTTGAGGACTACTCAAAGCTCAAATACTCCTGATGGAATTATAAACTCAGGGACTAAGGGAACACTATGTGAGTGACTTCACAGTTGGACACTTTTCCTGGAGAACCAATCTCGCATTCTAATAGCAAACTACTGTAGTCCTCGCCATGGAACATTATCCTGAGAGAGTTCATTCCCCTGTGAACAAACCCTGATATTGAGCTTGCTGTCAACATGACTTTTCGATCAAACACTATAGATAGGAGCATCTCGCCTGAACCATCACGTGAGAGCTTCGGTCTCGAGAAATATGAATAGAGCTTTGCATACAGAACATATTGGATAAAGCTTGCAGTTGAACACTATCCTGAGGAGCTTCTAGCGACAACGTCCGAAGTTGCAGTTTATTTGAAGGACTTCGCCACTACCATTATCTGGGATTTCTAGAAACATTTCAGGTAGTTCCCCATTGAACACTATGGTGAAGTCTCTGCAGCCAAAATTTACTGAAGAGAGAGTGCAACTTTTTGTAGGATTAAAGCCTGAAAATTTAGCCTAGGAAGATTAAACCTCACCATTAGAGCCAAACCTGTATAACACTTATCTTATGGGACCACAAAGGGAACATAGCAAGGAAAATCGAGCATTATAAGTGGGCTCTCAGATGAAAACTTAAACTCTACTGGAACTTTGAAACTACGGAGGAGCTCTCACAAGCTGAACACTCGCTGAGACTCTACGCCA